AAATGTGTCCGTATTGAGCATCATTGAATACATGTACGTATCCTAGGACCGAGATCTACTCTTCAGTATATAACCTAGAGAAATACTTGCAGTTGTGCTTATGGGCCGTGTACAAAGGTGTTCACTGTGCCGTTGTTCATATTAGTAAAAAGTGGTAAATGAATAAAAGCCCATCAACAGGGAAATAGATATTTAAAGCAAATTAAATCATCACCCAAGTAATGTTGGGTGAAAAAAAGCAGGTTTCAAATGTGCAATAAAACAGAAGATTAATCTTTTTAAAAGATTCTAAAATATAAGAACATGTAAACATATACAATTTATATATAGTATATCGCATATAGTATATTTAATATTTTACATATATAGTGAAATTTTAAAACATAGCTGGGAAGGGTACACTAACTTCAGGATAATGGTTGTCTCTCTAGAGGGAGAAAGAATCAGACAGTGTTATAGGAGAGAGAACTGAAAATGTACAGTACTTGGAAGATTCAAGTACACTTACATATTTACACCCTCAAGTTAAAACTCATAAACTATCATGTAACTCTACAATGAGTGCTAGTGTCACCATGATAAAAGGGGCTTTGCTTTTGCTTCTGATTTGTTTCCATGTGAGAGCTACTAAACTCCATTACCTGGTGTTTAAGGCCTCCAAAATCGAATCCCAGGCTCTCTTTACTGTATTATCCTGCCAGTCCATGACACTGAAGCCAGCCAAGTGTTTGCCAATCCCCAACTGACCCCACACTCTCCCCCTTCCTCCTTGGCTCACCCTATATCTGTTCCCTGGGATATTTACTCACCGACTCATACCCAACTTTAAAGACTACTTGAGGGCTTCCCTGGTGGTGCAGTGGTTAAGAATCTGCCTGCCAATGCAGGGGACACGGGCTCCAGCCCTGGTCCAGGAAGATCCCACATGCCGCGGAGCAACTAAGTCTGGGCAACACAACTACTGAGCCTGTACTCTAGAGCCCTCAAGCCACAGCTACTGAGCCCACGTGCCACAACTACTGAAGCCCGCACGCCTAGAGCCCGGCTCTGCAACCCGCAACAAGAGAAGCCAGGGCAGTGAGAAGCCCACACGCACCGCGATGAAAAGTAGCCCCCGCTGGCCACAACTAGAGAAAGGTGGCGCGCAGCAAGGAAGACCCAATGCAGCCAAAAAAAAAAAAAAAAAAGAGACTGCTTGAATTAATCTTTGACCCCATTCAAACCTAGAATAGAAGCTTTCTCCCACACTTTCATAAAACTTTGGTTATTTTCCGACAAGTAGTATAGCCTTTTTACGTAAACGTGTTGCACTGAAGGCAAAATTACGGGAAACTCAGTCACTTTTTACCAACAAACCCATATAACTACAGCCCGGATCAAGAAGCCGATTATAACCACACCCCAGACATTTCCCATATGCCTTCTCCCAGGCTACATCTCCCCAAAGGTAATTGCTGCTTTGACTTCTATTCCTGTAAATTAATTTTCCTCATCTTAGAACTTTATATGAATGGAATTATACTGTACAGTACGTATTCTGTCACATCTGGCTTTTTTCATTCAACATTATGTTTGTGAAATCTATCCACATTGTTGCATGTAGCACTACAGTGGTCCCTCTGCATCGGTAGAGGATTGGCTCCAGGACCTCTGCGGATACCAAAACACGCGGATACCAAAACACGCGGATGCACGAGTTCCTTACATAGAAGTGTGTACTACCGTCGGCCCTCGGCATCTGTGAGTTCTGCCAACTGTGGACAGATTTTTCTGCCCTCTGTATGTAGTTCATTCTTTTTCATTGCTTCAGAGTAATCCATTCTATGAATATACCAATTTATTAGTCCTTTCTACTTTTGATGGACATTTTGGTTGTAGTTTTTAGCTATTTGAAATAATGCTACTATAACCATTCGCATATATGTCTTTTTGGTATACATTTTGTATGGCATTTGGAGGATACATCAAAAATCTTTAAGATGTACTCAGAATTTATCCCAAGGAAAAAGTTAAAGAGTTAAAAGATTTAGCTATGCAGATGTTCTTTGTAGCATTTAAAAATAAATGCAAAAAAATGTAAGTTATACTAAATTTTTAAAAACAGGACATTGGTTAAATAAATTGGGGCATATCTATGCAACAGAATATTATATTAAAATATATTAAAATCATGGCATAGAGTATATTTACTGCTAAGGAAAGATTTGCATGGCATCCTAGGTGGGAAAAAATCTGATTATAAGAGAATATATCAGCATGAGACCACTTTTGTGGAAAAAATTTATATGTCAGTGTATATTTGAAAGGATCATACCAAAAGTTTAACAGTGATATCTTTAGGAAATGCAATGATGGCTGATTTTTTTTCAGTTTCGCTGTATTTTTCCAATTTTCTAAATTCTTGTTCTTAAGTATGGCTATGGATTTACCCCTGTATTACACTGTATTCTCAGTGCACAGCATACTATTTGTCATACAGTCGTTCTAGATAAATGCATATTTGACTCTATGAAAAAATATAAATTGTCACAAAATCAAGAAGGTAGAAACAATTCAATTAATTTTATTCAATTTTAAAAGGCCAAGATAATTGCCATGGGAGACACTGAGGTATAATTGACCATATATTTGGTCTTTGAGTGCCACAAAACAGCACAAATTCAGTAGCAGGGCTCTCTGCTGGTCACCATTGTGACCCTTTGCCCTCATAGCAGGTCATCCACATCCTTTACCAATGACCTGGTGATCAGCTCTAAAGATGGCCAGCATCTCGGATGCACTAAATGCCCACTTTCTATCAGAGACTGTTAACCTAAAACGAAGACTCAAGAGCCAAGTCCTAGAATGTGCTAACACTTTAGCCATTGATTGTTCTGTGTCTACATTACCACAATTTTAAAGATTTCAGGCATCACAATGCACTTTTTTAAAAGTTTGCTTTTTTTAAAAAAATAGATCTTTATTGCTTCACAATACTGTGTTAGTTTCTGTTGTACAACGAAGTCAATCAGCCGTATGCATACGTATATCCCCTCCCTCTTGAGCCTCTATCTCACGACTCTAAGTCATTGCAAAGCACCTAGCTGATCTCCCTGTCCTATGCGGCTGCTTCCCACTAGCTAACTATTTTACATTCGGTAGTGTATATATGTCAATGCTACTCTCACTTTGCCCCAGCTTCCCCTCCCCGCCGTGTTCTCAAGTCCATTCTCTATGTCTACTTCTTTATTCCTGCCCTGCCACTAGGTTCATCAGTACCATTTTTTTTTTTTTAAGATTCCATATGTGTGCGTTAGCATACGGTGTTTGTTTCTCTCTTTCTGACTTACCTCACTCTGTATGACAGACTCTAGGTCCATCCACCTCACTACAAATAATTCAATTTCGTTTCTTTTTATGGCTGAGTAACAGTCCATCGACAGATGAATGGATAAAGAAGATGTGACACATATATACAATGGAATATTATTCAGCCATAAAAAGTTTGCTTTTTAAAAAATGCAATCCGTTGCTTGTTTTCATCCTTCTCAGAAAACCAAACAGCATTGCCCCCCTTCATGTTGCAAATAGGAGGGGGTCATAAGTCAGATTTAGGCAGAACAAACAGGCCTCCTCTGACCAAAGCATCTCTCCTCTCCAGCTCCCCCTGGCGTCCTCTTCGCCTTCTGTCGTGGACTGAAATCCTCACCATTACAATCCCTCCTCCCCCCCCCCCAGCCCCTTCTCATTAGTACATCAGAAGGTGGTCCCAGGGGCTTACACGGATTCTGTAGGTGGTTACTGAGGAGCAGGCAGTACTGCGGGTTGTGTGGGGCTTAGAGCCAGGGGAGAGCTGACTAGTGGGAGAAGGCTTTCAAGTCACACTTACTTATCCTTAAGGAGGAGGAGGCATTTCGTTCCTTTTAGATGCTGGCAAAACTCATCCCATCCTTTGAGACTTGGAGTGAGGATGTGACTCTCTAAGACTTTTGGGGAGGAGGGGCTCTCTGGGTCCCCAGTGCTTCGCTCATGCCAGCGTCCCAAGCTGCCTTCCAGGTGCTACCTGGGGTCTCACTCTCCCTGTTTGCACTACGTGTCCCTGGGGTTCCTAAACCGCCCAACCCAGACGTGCTCTAGGTCTCACCATTGAATCCGATCACGGCCTCAAGCTCCAGCTCGGCCACCTCAGCCACCTCATCCTTGGGCGAAGTTTGGGTCTCCATCACCCGGAGACTCCGCTCACGTTCCTCTCAGCCTCCAGAGGTGCAGCGTCTTCCGGTCGTTATGGTAACGGATTTGCGCACGCGCGCCAGATCAACGCCTGCGCTGAAACCCAGCCGAAGGAGTTCGAGTCCTTTTGCTCTCTTGCAAATGGAAAGAGCCGTTCTTTTTACCTTCCAGTATTTCTCTGGAAATTTAAGGGGCACTAAATGCACAGAACTAATTCCCTCCTGTCCCATGTAAAGAGTCTGTGACCTTTGGGGTAACTATATAATCAAGCACCTTATGGCATTTAAAACTTAAAGGATTGCCTCTGATGGGAAGGCTGCCGTAAGACAGTATATAATTGATACTTCTTTGGGTCCCTTGTTTGAAGCAGGACAAAAAGGGTTTTTTTAACTATACTGAGGTATAAATTATATATAGAATTTACTTAAAGTGGGCTTTAGTAAATTTATATAGTTGTGCAACTATCACCACAATCCATTTTTTGTTTGTTTGTTTGTTTTTGTTTTAAGCAGGATAAAATGTTAAGTAACTGCTAGAGGTCTTGAGGGGCTCCCACCTACCTGGGAAAAATGCTTAGATTTTGTTCAAAAACAGTTTTATTTTAATTGCACCCAACTGTTCGCGTCTCTTAGTGGAACCCGATTGCTCCAACCTACAGTTCCCCGGGGGAGCGCTTTCCTTTCTTCATCACAGTTTGGAGGCCTTGGGGTATGTATATTCACTGTGCAAACTCCAGGTTCCGGTCGCGCACGGGTCGAGCCGCGGGGTGTGAGCCGCGCGGGCCGCCGTAGTCAGCTGTTGCGAGCAGGAAGTGTCCGAGGAGTGGGTGGAGACTGCACCATGGCCCCGGACCCCTGGTGAGCCTGGGGAGAGGGAGGGTGCACGCGGACCGTCCCGGGGGCGGCCGTGCTGCTGGGGAGCGGGCGGTCGCTAGGCATTAGGGCTGGAGGCCTTTCGGGATAAGGGGAGGGGAGCAAGGCCCCTTCCCCTACTGCCAGGGGCGGGGGTTGAGGGGCTGGGCTCTGCCGCATCCCGACACCCTCGGTCTTGACAGGGGTGGCCGGGGCGGGAGACCCGGTGGACCCCTGGGGAGCTGAGTTCCAGTGCCGAATCTCTGAGCGTTCCTTTTAGCCCTTCTTGGCTGCATCTCCCGGATTCCCGCCCATCGTGGTTGTGGAGATGGCTGATGCAGGCTTCCCTGGACTCCTGCGAAAGTGAAGTCGGAGTGACCTTTTTGTGGAACGCCAGCGTATCTGGTGAACCTTCTTATTTCCCAGGTGGAGAAACCGAGGTTCAGAATTCATGGTCATCAGCGAGTTAGTAACCAGTTGGCTCAAGCATCTAGATCTTGTGGGCCCTTCAAAAAACTTAGAGGAATCTGGGAGGGAAATTATGCCGTTTATAAGGTATTTTAGTACCACGAAGACTTTCTATGGCAGCAACTTCTGCAGTAAAACAATAGGTGATAAGGACCTTTTATTCAACAGTTAAGTCCCAAGGACTGACTGAATGATGAAAGACACAAGTTCTGATACGAGGAACCTATTCCTATAGCGTATTGGACTTGAGCTTTTTGTTTACTAATTAAAAATGCTATAGCTCAACACGGTTCTTTTGGAGAATATGTCATATTAGTACTTGTAACATAGTTTATTGTTTAAGTTGCAGGTAGTCTGGATATTAAGAGATTAACTTTGCAAAATCAAAGTTAATCTACCTGGGATCTAGATTATCTGGGCCAATGGCTTAATTGATTTAACACTATTTTTTTTTCACCTAATTTTAACACCCTGATAGAAAATTTAGAAAATATTGAATATTTGCAGAGGAAAAAACCCCCATCTTTAACTCTTATCATTTGGAATAATTGCCACTGTTGATTTTTTTAAATTAATTCATTTTTGGCTGCGCTCTGTCTTGTTTGCTGCGCGTGGGCTTTTCTCTGGTTGTGGCGAGCGGGGACTACTCGCGGGCTTCTCACTGCGGTGGCTTCTCTTGTTGCAGAGCACGGGCTCTAGGCGCGCGGGCTTCAGTAGTTGTGGCTCGTGGGCCCTAGAGCGCAGGCTCAGTAGTTGTGGTGCACGGGCTTATTTGCTCCGCGGCATGTGGGATCTTCCCGGACCAGGGCTCGAACCCGTGTCCCCTGCATTGACAGGTGGATTCTTAACCACTGCGCCACCAGGGAAGCCTGGCACTGTTGATTTTTAAAATGAATTTATTACTTTGTATAATGTATGTGTGTGTGTATATATATGTGTGTATAGATATACACACACCCCTGTATATTTTACAAAGCAGGGAACATTCCTCCATATCATTAAATATTCAGTGAAAACACAATTTTAATGGTGCTTAATAGTGCATCATATGAATGACCGTGATGCACTATGATTTAATCATTCCCCTCTTTGTACCCTTTAAAAAATGTTAGAGGGCTTCCCTGGTGGCGCAGTGGTTGAGGGTCCGCCTGCCGATGAAGGGGACACGGGTTCGTGCCCCGGTCCGGGAGGATCCCACTTGCCGTGGAGCGCCTGGGCCCGTGAGCCATGGCCGTTGAGCCTGCGCATCCGGAGCCTGTGCTCCGTAACGGGAGAGGCCACAACAGTGAGAGGCCCGCGTACCGCAAAAAAAAAAAAAGAAAAAAAAAAAAGGGATTTTTTGGGTTTGTTTTTTTTTAATTACAAAGACTGCCTTTTTGTTCCATCTCTTATTTCCTTGGCTCACTCCCTAGAAGTGGAACTACTGGGTCCAAGGGCTAAGTTGCCCTCCACTTCCGGGAAGCTAACTCCCTCATTTTACACATAAGGTAGGAAATAAAGCTTAGAAATAAGGTAGAGTCCCCAGGGTATCCATTTAGGTTGGTAGAAGCTATCACTGAACCCTAGGCCTCTTCCACAGTTAATGTTGAAAAAGCACTGGTAAGTTTTCCTGTTCCTCTCAAGTAGTTTGACTCAGCAGCTTTCTCATTTGTTGAAAGTGAAACAATGAGGGACTGTGCTGTGCTAGGTCAGCTTCCTTGCAAAGTAGGTTGCTGCTCATGGGAGCAGAAAGGAGTATGGAATAGGACTTTGAAAAATCTATAAAACAGACTTGACTATGGCTTTGCTCTCCTACTATTGAAATAGCATAGCTCAGTGATGCTTTACTCCTGAGTAGCATTCTACTGTTTAGAAATGGAATATGGCTGTTACTCTTTCAATGGCATATCAAAGCCAGTGGTAAGCTCACTGTGTAATAGAAATAGCCGGTGGTGACTGTCTCTGAATGGGTTCTTTGCTAAAGTTAATCAGCTTTACCACTTTTTTCTCTCTGTTCCAGTTCCACAGCCTTTGTCATGGCATCGCCATCCTCTTAGTCACTTAGGCCTAAAAACTCGAATCATCTACTTTTTCCTCACTCTTCCTATCAGTGGAGATTGGTCACTAATCTCCAGTATTTCTTTTCTTTTCTTTTCTGCCGTAGCCCAATCCTTTATAGCCTTATGGCTTACAGAGAGTAAATATTGGTGGCTTGTTACTGCGTTGAATAGCTGGAGAAGTCTTCTACTGGTCTCTTGCCACTCTTCTCTCATCCCCCCAGTGATTTATGTACGTGGAGTTCAGGTTACTTTTCCTAAACTAGTATTTTAGGTACCTGTGTGCTTGATTCCATCATGAGGTTGCCCATTACCGCTAGGCCAGTGGTTCTCAAGCTTTGCTACAGATTGAAATCACCTGGGGAACTTTACAACTCCTCACGTCCAGGTCAAACCCCGTGCCAGTTCAATCAGAATGATGCCTGAGGTAGGAGCCAGGATTTTTTTTTTTTTTTTTAAGTCTTCTCTGGTGATTCAACTGTGTAGCAAAGCTTCAGAAATGCTCTTTAGCGCTCAAATGAAAACGTGAGGATTATGAGGAAGACATCTGGGGTTTGGGCATCAGCGTTTCATGTAACCTTTTCAGGCCTCACTCTATGTGTACAAGTATCCCCTACACCTCTCAAATTCTCTGCTAAAAGTCAAAGCTTGTCCTGCTGTTCAAGGCTCTGCAGAAACTAGCTTCAACTCATCAGTACCATTTTATACTTTACCCTCCTACCCAGGACCACCACTCAGCCGACCGTGCCGGGCTCCTACCCTCCCTTTCATCTTTGCTTGTTCCCTGTGCCTCTCACCTCATCTAGAATATGCTCCTCCCTCTTGTGGGAGTGAGAGGCCTGCTTTGACCTTGTGGTTCAGCCCAAGGTGTAATCTCTTGGCCCAGCCTTATCAGATCTGTCTCGGCCAACAGTAATTTCTCTCATTTCCGAACTCCGGAAATATGCACTCGCCATTTATACTCTGCGTCTGGCAGGAGGTGTGTTGTACCTTGTTATTGATTTTCATACGTGTGGTCTGGGACCACAGAGCCAGACCTCAGAACCTCTTTTCATAGATGACAACATGGAGGGAAAAAGAGGAAAATGTGGCAAAGCTGGGACCAGGACCCAGTTTTTCTTATCAGCCTCCCTCCTACTTTCTTTTTCTTTCTTTTTTTCTTTTTTTTTTTTTTAATATTTATGTATTTACTTTTGGCTGCTTCAGGTCGTAGTTGTTGGCCCACGGGCTTAGCTTCCCCACGGCATGTGGGATCTTAATTTCCTGACCTGGGGTCGCACCCGCATCCCCTGCGTTGGAAGGCGGATTCTCAACTACTGGACCAACAGGGAAGTCTCCCCTCCTACTTTCTTAATTGTGTATTGTCTTATATCACCTGCTCTCTTTTGGTATGCATGAATATATGTATATGAATGATGCTACTTTAGATTATAGCGGTGAGTTGCCAAGGATCCTACTGTTAGCAAACCAAAGTTGGGTTGACTCGCCCGCATGCAGCAAAGCCAATCTACTGATACAATGTTGTGGTGAAGGAAAGTGCAGCGTTTATCGCAGGGCACCAAGCAAGGAGTCTAGTGCTAGTGCTTAAAACATCTGAATTCCCTGACGGCCTTCAGGGAAAGGTTTGTAAAGACAGGGTGAGGGGGCTTCCCTGGTGGCACAGTGGTTGAGAGTCCGCCTGCCGATGCAGGGGACACGGGTTCGTGCCCCGGTCCGGAAAGATC